GCTGCTGGGAGCAGGGGGCGTGGCTTGTTGCATGTGCCCGCCCCCTGGGCTCTTAACTGCCGGAGCTCTGCTCCTGTGCGCTCCTGCAGGAAATGACCCCTGGTTTTAATACTCTATCATGGATTTTCTATTGATATTTATATTGTTTTATCTACTGTTTTCTTATGTCAGCCGCCCTGAGCCTGCCCCGGCAGGGAGGGCAGGGTAAAAATCAAATAAATAAATAAATAAATAAATTAATAAACTTTTGGAGTAGCAACCTTTGAATTTTTCCACGTTTTCCCATGGAGTGAGGTTTATTGTGTGATGAGGGTTGGCTGTTTTTGACTCCGGTTGCAAAAACGGCAAAGACAAATAAATAAAGCCAAAACAGCGGTGCCATCTATCTTTCCGCTCACGACGCAAAAGAAAAGTGTTACCTGGACGGAGGTCCCTTCCTTCTGCCCTCGTCTCATCACCAGGTGCATGGCATGTTCGTCCTTGGGCGAGGAACGTTTTTCCGCAAAGGCCAGGAAAACGGATTTGTCGGGTAGGAACAGCAGGGCGGGAATTCGGTAGGTGACGCCCCCGGGCACTTCCTGGCGGAACAGAGTCACCTTCCCGGAGCCCGCCCACGCTTCCGCCATCTTTTCTCGGGGTGAAGAAATGTTCTGAGAAGGAGGAGGAAAGAGAGAGGAAACATTAGATGAACTGGTATAGTCATCGTGGAGAAACAGGTCCGGCTGTTGACAGGAAGTGGGATCCCGAGACTCCGAACTCGCATTTCAAGAAGAGGGAAAAAAACCTTGATGTGTAAAGAGGAAGAGCTTTCCAAAATCCATGCTTGTGAAAGGCTTTGAATCATAGGTCCTCAGGGGATCTTGGGCAGTTCTCTCACTATGTTTCACCCGGATCTCCTAGCCTCATTCGAGTCCTGCAATTACACCCAGGGACCAGAATAACCGGACCTCTTCCTAGACTGACTTCAGACACCCTTATTCACGGTTTTGCTCGCCCAACTGTATGAGTCTGGGGTCAGCCTCCCCGGTCGTTTCACCTCGTGCTGGCTAGTTCAGACCTCCAGAGAAGTAGCGAGATCCTCTCCTCTCGAGTAGGTCTCCTCTCCCTGGGTTCCCCTTCCAGGATGAAAGGAAGCTCTCACTGATTGCACCGTACCACACACTTGTTTTCTCCAAAAGTCAATGTATTTAAGAGGAGTAAAGTTTAAAACACACCCGTATCTCCCTGCACCGCGGCGGACCACCGCAGCGAGAGCCAGTTTGGTGTAGTGGTT